CCCCCGAGGAGCAGCGCTATGGGACCAACCCAACAGCACCCCAGCTGCTCTGCCCCTGCTTCCCCAATTCAGCTGCTGGGGAGTTTCAGGCTGAATCAGGGAAGCTGGGCGCAGAGCAGCTTCAGTTGTCTGGCTGCTTCCGGGTTCCCAATGGTGTCGGACCATCAGGAGTGCCGGAGCACTGGATGCTGGACCAATGGAGTTTTACTGTATTATGTTTATCTGATCAAAATACACTTGGGACAGTTGTGTCTCTCTCTCTGAGTGTTTTTTTTTTCAGCATGGTTGAAGCTGATAGGACTCAGTGCAGGGGAAAATTAATAAATCTTTCCCAGGCGTGAGATACTGTCTAGACATTAGTTGACAAATCTTAGCACATTTTTAAATAGCAAAAGCACCCTTGCTTGAGACTGAAAATTAAATTATAAACACTGGAAATACCACAGAGAGCAAGCCTACATTCACTTTATCCCATTTGCTTCTCAGTATCCAGAGAACAAGAAGGCACTAAGGGTTACTTTCTTTTCCCCCTGCTGCATTGATTACAGGTCTCACTGGTATCTGCTTCTCTCTATTTGGCAGGTTTGATACTGAAGCAGAAGCTGTTGCTATAGCAAATTCAGCCAGCGTGGGTTTAGCAGGTATGTTCTTCTTTTGCAGATACACCACTGTGCAGCCACAGGCTTGAGCTTAATGTTGCATGAGATGAAGAATTTAATTTTGATTGTTCTGTTTGCTAATAAGTACCTTCCCCAGAACCTTCTGCTACCATGACCTTTTGATTTTTGTTCTATTTTAATAATGCACTTTTACATTTGTGTGGCAGGATATTTCTATTCTCGAGACACAGCGCAGATCTGGAGAGTTGCAGAGCAGCTGGAGGTTGGAATGGTTGGTGTTAATGAAGGGATTATATCCTCTGTGGAGTGCCCTTTTGGTGGCGTAAAAGAGTCTGGCTTAGGACGAGAAGGTTCAAAATATGGTGTTGATGAGTACCTAGAAATAAAGTATGTCTGCTTTGGGGGCTTATAATTTGCAAAAATGATGCAATCCACAAAGGCCTGGAAATAATTACTTGATTCAGGACTATCCGTGTATTAATGTGACATTTACTTTTTTCAGATCCAAGTAACGTTATTGTGTAAATGTAGAGAGAGATGTTTCATTTAGCTCTGTGCTGATATTTGTAAAACACAAATACTACTAGTTACATAGTTTTAATTAATAACCAATATTTGAGTGCCTCAGGTGGGGGGGAGAGCAGGGAGGGAGGAATAACTTATGTTGTTTGAGTTATTCTATGTAACTAGGAAGGATTTGGAAATCTGTGCACAATGAACATCATAATGTCTGTTCTGGAGGAGAGACTTTTTTTTCCCTGCTGTCTCTCCTAATATTCATGCATTGATGTAGTAGGTGGAAATGGGGAGGATAGCTTATTGTTTATGGTTTTGTGCCAAATATGCACTTAATTCTCAGCTCACCTAGGTGGGGGTAGAACTTTTTCAGTTCTTTTCTCATGAAAAGTTTAATGAAAATAATGTGGTGCCCATGAAGGAGAGGAATTGATAGTAATGGCTGGAACTGCTAGTCCACAGCTGTGTCAGTAGTCAGTGTTGATTGCAACACTACCTGCCGTTGCAGCTTTGAGCCTCTCCAGTGCAAAGAGGTCCTGACTTATGGCAAGAAACTTAATAGTGTGGGGAACAGATACAGACCTTATTTCCATGGTAGCACAGGCTGGGTGCATCCCAGCAGTCTGTGTAACTGGTTGCACAGTGAGTCAATGGATCTTGGGAAACAGCTAGTTTAGTGTATAGCCGGAGCAGGTTTTATGTATAGTGCAGGGACATTCTGCCAAGCTGATGTAGAGAGGAATCATGCCAATGAGCTCTACATGACAATATAGATTCATTCATTCCCCTGCGTAAGACCAAGATGACCCTATATGGGAAAGGGAAGAGGATGGTCATCAGGGTCAGTGTTGCCAACTGACTTCAAGGAGAACTTTCCCCCTACAAGCTACTTCAGCTTCCTCAGTGACCAAGACTCATCACGCTGTACTCCTCCTATGGCTTTGGCCGTGAATGCCACCAGGGTCTGGACTGGCAGATGTCTGTCGGAGGGGGACTTAAACACATCTAACTTACAAAGTATTAAGGATGGTGTACGTCTTTAGAGGGAGCCTTTGTACATCACCCCATTACTTGGTGTAGCCCAGTTGAAAGCATCATTAAAAGATGATGTAACAGTTCTTTAGTATGAAGCAAATGATGGTGTATTAATATTCTTGTGACTAAAAATAAGCGCTTTATTCACTAAACGAATCTTCGTTGGAACATCCTATAGAAAACTTTAAACTGGAGGGGTGAAGTAGAAGTTAACCAAAAATGAAAGTGCTAACTCCTATATAGCCAGACTGTTTTACATTAAATTACTGAGTGAAAGTGAGCCAACCTATTTCTCTATACTATTTGAATGTACCTTATCAAATGGTTTAATTGAATACAATTGCCTAAGATAGGAGGAAATGTATGCGCACACAGAGTAGTGTTGATTGCTACTCAACATTTTACATGTTTAGATGATTTTTCTATTACTCTGTTATGTCTACACTGCAGGCTTTTTGTGCAAAGACTTGCAGAGCACCTACACTGCATGCGCATTCTTACGCAAATAAAGTTACAATACAGTGTTGGAAAACAGGGCTTCTTCCGGAAAAGTTATTCCTCTCTTCATGATGAATAAGCCCTCTTGCGCAAGAGCTCTTCCAGATGAAGGTAGTGTAGACAGGCAACATGAATTTCTTGCGCAAGAGAGAGTCCACACTGCCATGAACACCCTTGCGCAAAAGCACATGGGACTCTTGTGGAAGACCTTTTGCACAAAACAGTTCTTGCGCAAGAAGCCTGTAATGTAGATGTAGCCTAAGTGTGACTGGAGCTCATTTTTTATTGCCAGGGTAAAATGCATAAGTGCATTGTACTGAAGTGATGCCACAAAAGGGATTTGGAAAGGACACTCATTGCCCTTGCAGAAGTCCCAAATACAATATATACACAAATTAAGGTACTTTATCAACAGCAGTGTGTGGTGTTGGGGTTAATTAGTATACAGATGACTTGTTTATATTAACCAGTTTTAAACTCTTGTAGGTAAACATATACAATGTCCTGATTTTTGAGAGCATTGTGTTATGGCTTATATGAAAGTAGAGCAGCTAAAACAAAATATTTTTCTTATTCAGCAGAGTGTGTTGCAGACAGCCAGTACTGCCATTCCAAAGTGCTAGTGCTTGTATAAAGCAAGCACACAGGCACTTTTAGAAGTATCTTAGGCAGGTGGACCTGTCACTTCAGCCCATCACTCCAGTTGTACTGTTCTGACCAGTTGCCCCCATGACAGATGCAACACTGTTTGTTGTCTTAAAATCTGGGTGTCATGTTTTATGAGTGAATTTTCTTCTGTGAATAAATTTAAATAAAACGTTAGTAAAATTTTACAGTTTACCTAGCACAAGATATTTTTTAACTATGTCTAGGAAGCACAAACTTTTGTTGCATAACTTTAACTTGAAAAAAATGTTTCTCAAGTTTTCCTCTATGCCTGGATTCCTATGTTTGCATGTGTGTGTTTGTCTAGATAACATCGACATCGAAGAGCACAGATTGATCTTTCTTACAGATGTTGTACTCTTAACAAAAACTGTGATCCTTGACGAAAAAACATACTGATACTTGAATTCTTACAATTCAAATTGGTGTATTAGTTTGTCTAGCTTTTTCTAATGTAATGTGTTTGAGTGTTCAAATAACTGTTTAAGTAATAAATGTCTACCACCTGTGAAGCAGTTATTGTCTTGTGTACAGTACAGTCTTCTGTCTTAGTACAGAACTGCTGGAAGAGTTGGAAATGCCTAGTATTTGAGGACATGGAAAAGTAGGCTTATGCTTTTTTCAGTGTACTACAGTTCTGAAAGCTATAACTCATGCAGCTATACTGAACATTTAGGATGTAGCACGGATTCTTCTTACCTACAAGATGGCATAGTGCTACTACTTCTATCCACATGTCCGTGGAAAAGGTATTGCAGAGTTGGGCTATTCCATTTATTTGAGAAGGGCACTCTGCAATAACAATACTTAGGTTGGGAAAAAGAAAGCAGGTTATATTTAAATAGCTAGTATAGTATTTTATTTGAAGTGGTTTTTAGTTTTATTAAAAGTGTAAACATTCTTCCACTCCCTCCACCTCTAAAATGTTCAGTCTAACAAAATGAAATCTTTTTATTATAATTCCCTGGCAGGCTGACCCAAAAACATTTCTCCTTCCCTCCTCCCCATTTTTATGAAACCAAAACAAAAAAAACCCCACTACCACACACACAAAATAGTTATTTGCATTCTGAGAGCTGCAATTATTAGAGTTTGTCTTTTTTGTCCTGTTCAATATACTGAACTCATTCCTACCTTTCATGGAAATTGAAAGAAGCAAAGAAGGGAATTATAGTTTGTGGTATGAACAGAAAAGCTAAAGCATCTCTTTGTTTTTACTATACTGCTCTGACAGAGTTGAACACAGCTGCATACAGAAGAATGCAACATCCACAAGAGGACACATGATTGAGCCTCATAAAAGAGAGAAATCTTTATTAGAAGGGATACATAAATTTAATAGGACCACTTCAGAAAGGGTTCCAGTTAGAATATATTATTGTTTGCAATCTTTAACATTTTCTAGAGACCGATTCCTGCTAGAATGTCTACAATAGCTCACCCCCCCCAAATGCAGAGTGCAATGTTTCTGTACCAAGGTAAAATACCAACATGTGGCTAACCTACACTTAATTCATTACCTATGCTACAGGGAAATAGATTTTCATTTTAAGTACTATCAGTTTCAAACCTTTGGCTTTCTTCCTCCTTGCTACACCTGGAATGACTCTGAGCTGTCTCCAGAACCCTAAAGTATAACTCTTATCCTTTAGGACCTCCCTTCTACACTTCCTTATTCCACTCCCCCTTCTTGCAGAGGGGTGCTTACACTTCATCTCTCTCTCCAGGATTCCATACATTCTCCAGGGGGTGACTGTTGTCATTTTCTCCACACCATTAGTCCCAAAAAACTCAAGGTCACTATAACGTAGTCTCTTATCTTCCCAACATCTCGAAGACCAAAATCCGCACGTGATATGCAGGCAGTGTGTCCATGGACTTCAGCAGAGGAAAGTTAAATTGTAGCATTTTTTACCTATTCTCAGGTTTGAAGGGTAATACACACTGTGCTGTTAACCCTTTGCACACAGCTCCCCCTGCATGGGTGTACGCACTGAAACAACTGAATAAAATAAAATTAGCATCCCGTAGGCAAGCACGTTTGGCAACACCGAGCAAGGAATGGGTCCCTCAGCTACAGCTCTTATCTGGTATGCTTGAGAAAGAGGTTGTCCTCACACATCTGACAAGTATGAAATAACTGGGCTTGTCAAATGCAACTTGGTCAGGATTTTCAGACAACAGTTCATATCGGCAACAACTCAATTAATATGAGGATTGAATGAGAAGAGAGAGGCTTTGCTCTTTCTGTTCTTGTCAGATGTGTCCAGCTAAATTTCACATCATACTGCAGTAGCACTTTCTTTGCCATGCTGAAAAAAGGGTTTTGATTTGCTTATAGTCGTGTAGTTTTATGGTCTGAGTATGGATGTCCCCAAACTGCAACAAATAGTGTGGATTAATTAAATGCCTCTTATAAGCAATGAATATGAGAATTTTCTATACATCAACTGCACTCAGGACTTAACTTTGAAGGGATGTGCATAAGAATAGAGTTGCCATGCTTGTCCTTCCCACAGTATTGATGCTTTCGTGTAGAGCATTAGCATCTCAACGCTTGTACAGGAAGTACATAGAATTTTCTGAGTAGTTCCCAGCATCCTGGGGCATTTTTAATATTTGTATTTTGTCTGTCAAAAATGATCTTGAGTGCTCCAAGCCCGGCACAGTCTGTAAAAACAGGCAGACTTCACTCAATGCCACCAATGCATTCTAACCCTCCTCCCAGTTCTGGGTATTGCCTGGGCAAAGACTCCAAGAATTCAGTATGGCACTTGCTATATTCAATCCTGAACGCCTCATAAGAGAGTCATGCTAGACTTAAGGACCACTGATATCACATCACAAATTCTCAGAGCCAGAAAGGTATTAACATTTAACTTTCAAAAGTGGAACTACACAAAAATAAGCATGCTTGTTAGATGAAAGTCAAAAAGCACTGTCACAAGGGCCAAAGGCCTGCCAGCAGAATGGGGGCTATTTAAAAACACCACGACAGAGGCTCAAACTAAATCTATGCCACAAATCTGAAAAAAATAGTATGAGGGCCAAAAGAATGTCACCATTGCTTTACAGCAGAGCAGTGCAGGTCAGTAGAGTCAAAAAGACTTTATTTAAACTTTGAACATCTTATCCTAGTGATAATAGGAAGGTGCCACAAACGCCGGCAGATTACGGCTTCAAGTATGTGGCAGGCCACAAAAGGATTTGAGAAGCAACTTGCTAAAGACAAGAGACTAACAGTAAAGAGGATGTTTGAAAGTACACCAGAAGTAGGAAGCCTTCCAAACAGGTTACAGGTAATAGATGACCAAGATGTTAAAGGAACGCTCAGGGAAGACAAGGCCATTGCAGAAAAGCTAAATGAATTCTTTATCTCGATTTTCACTGCAGAGGTTATGGAGACAATAAGGACTAGAACTACCGTTTTTGGACAACAGATCTGAAGTACTATCCCACACTGATGTGTTAATAGAAGATAAATGGTAATAAGTCACCAGGACCCAAGAGTTTTTACCCAAGAGTTCTGAAGGAACTCAAATATGAAATTGCAGAACCAACAGTAGTATGTAACCTGTCACTGAAAACAAAACTCTGTACTTACTGACTGGATACTAAAACAAAAGGCTCCCAAGGAGACACTGACCAATGAGCCTCATGTCATTAGCAGGCAAACTGGTAGAAACTATAGTTAAAAAAATAAAAAGAAAGAATTATCAGGCACATGAGCATGATTTGTTATGGAAGAGATAACAGACTTTTGGTAAAGGCAAGTCATGCCTCTTATCAATCGGTTAGCATTCGGAGGTATCAACAAACGTGAATATGGGAGATCCAGTGGATAGAATGTACTTGGATTTTTAGGTAGCCTTTGACAAGGTCCCTTACCAAAAGCTCTGATGGAAACAAAGGGTATGCCTAGGCTACCAGGCTGTGTCAACAAAACTTGTGTCAACACCCAAAGGTCAACAAAACAGAAATTGCTAGAGGGTGCATGCAATGCAGTATGCGTTTGTTTCCCATAGTGCAGTGTTATAGAACAGCGGAGCTGATCCCTGCACAACTCCTGCAGCCTTCTCAGCTGCTGGGAGAGGCACCCAAGAGAAGCTCTGTAAGGAATGTCAATCAGCTCAGCATCCTGTCCCCCTCGCCCTGCAGCAGCAATCTGCCTGCCACTGTGTTCCTAATACAGGGCTAAACAGGAGCAGTCCAATGATTTTCTCTTTGTTTGTTCCCCAAATGGAGCAGCTCACTCAGTGGTCAGGTACTTCCCAGAGCTTTGAAAGGGGAGGAACACATACCTGCAGGCAGCCGAGATCAAAACACTGAGCAGAACCATCAGGGCAGGCAGCGTGGGATATTGGCAGAAGCTAGTTCTGTCGACAAAATAAACGTCTACGGTGGCTCTTTGTTGACAATAAAGGAAAAGAAAAAAGTACCTCCTACGGGTGGAAGTCTTTAGTCATTAAAACTAGGTGTTTTTCTGGACAAGAGTTGCATTGCAATGTATACTCTCTCTCTTTTTTGTCGCCAAAAAGGCAGTTTTTGGCAACATAATCTTGTAGCGTAGACAAAGCCTGAGAAGTCATGGGGTAAGAGAAGATCCTGTCATGGATCAGTAACTGGTTACAGGATCAGAAACAAAAGGTGAGAATGAATGGTCAGTTTTCATCATGGGCAGAAATAAACTGACTGTTTCCCCTAGGATCTGTACCAAATCCGGTGTTGTTCGATCTATGGGATTCCACTCCCAGAAGCACCCAGACACCCTGTGCCTCCAAACCTCCACTGATACCACACTGCTCAGTGTGGTATCATCACTGTCCCCAAAAACAATCCAGAATGGGAGGTTCCATAGCACAGGACATACCCTTCCCCTAGCTCAGCCTTCCCCCCACTTCAAGAGGTGCCTAGCCCTGCGCTCAAGGCAGAACTATTATCCCTGAGAGGTCTTTGTCTAACCTGCTGTTAACCTCCATCACTGGAGATTCCACAACCAGCTAAGGCAATATATTCTAGTGCTTAACCATCCTGATAGGAAGTTTTTCCCAATGTCCAACTTAAACCATCCTTGCTGCAATTTAAGCCCATTGCTTCTTGTCCTATCATCGGAGGATAACACGAACCATTTTTCTTCCTCCTCTCTGTACCAATCTTTTATGTGCTTGAAAACTGATATGTCCCCTCTTATGGTCTCTTCTCTTCTTCGGACTAACAAACCCATTCTTTCAATCTTCCCTCATAGGTCATGTTTTCTAGATCTTTAATTCCTTTTGTTGCTCTTCTCTACATCCTCTCCAATTTGTCCACATCTTGCCTGAAATGTAGCACACAGAACTGGAACAATACTCCAGTTGAGGCCTAATTAGCATGGAGATAGGCGGAAAAATTACTTTTCATGTCTTGCTTACAAAATGCCTGTTAATGCATCCCAGGTAATGTTTGCTCTTTTTGTGACAGTGTTACACTATTGACTCATTTAGCTTGTGATCTACTATGATTTCTAGATCCTTTCCTGCAGTGCTCCTTTTTATTTCTTAGGCATTTCTTACTTTGTATGTGGGCAAATAAATTGTTCCTTCCTAAGAAGAGTACGTTATATGTATCCTTATTCAATTTCATCCTATTTACTTCACATCATTTCTCTACTTTACTCAGATCATTTTTAAATTTTAATCCTGTCCTCCAAATCACTTTCAACCTCTCAGCCTAGTATCCTCTGTAAACGTTGTAAGTGTACTCTATGCTATTATCTTCACTGATGAAGATATTGAACAGAACTGGATCCAGAACGGATTCTTGCAGGACCTCTCATAATATGCCCTTCCAGCTTGACTGTGAACCCTTCCAGCTTGACTGTGAACCCAACTAACTACTATTTGGGACCACTTTTGCAACCAGTTATGCACCCACCTTACAGTAGCACCATGTAGGCTGAATATCCCCCTGTATATCCCTAGCTTATTTATGAAAAGGTCATGAGAGACAAAAAGCCTTCCTAAAGTCTAGATATGCCACATCTATCACTTTCCCTATTCACAAAGCTTGGTACCCTGTCAAAGAAAAGATGGTGAGTTGGTTTGACACCATTCTTGACAAATTCATACTGTTACTTACCACCTTTATGTTGTTCAAGGTCTTTGCAAATTGCTTATTTACTCCATTAACTTTCCAGGTACTGAAGTTCAGCTGAAAAGGTCTGTCTCTCCCACCACTGTAGCCATGAACAAATGAAGTCAACGTACAAACTGGATCCCCTTATGCAGATTTCAGGGAGGTGATGGAGCAATAATTTCTGGGTGCTGAACAATAATTATGAACAGGAGCTCAACAGTCAAGACAGTCTTGCCCTCCTCCCTAGCCCAAGAGAGCCAAACCTCGAACTAAAAGTAAACAAGACGACCCCTAATATTCAAGCAAAAGGATACATTTGTATCACATTAGCTTGCAGCTGATTAAGTGAAACTGCTAGATAATAAATGTCCCTTAAACAGAGTCATTTTCACCTTATGCGTGCTACCTTAAAAACCAGTCAAAGCAGGGCATAAAGATAAATACTATGTACTAAAAATGCTACCTACAAATTTTCCCCTTTTTGTATTCAACTTAAGAACCGTATATGAAGATGGAGCTTGTAGCCAAACTCTGCTTTTTGCAGATAACAGGGAAACTCTGAATATTGGCTTTTACTGTTTTACATTAGATACATAACATAATGTAACAGAGCTCCGAGTAACAGAAACAAAGTAAAGACACAACCAGAATATAGCTCACAGCCTCAGTCACCATTGTTAGTAACATAACACTCTTGACTGGGGTCACAGCAGTGATTCATCTGTCTACTATAGGGAAAATGTCTGCTGAAATTTATGCATAAATATTCAGCACAGAGTAAACGAGCAATAAATGTACTTCTTACACCAATGACAAGAGTTAGTTGTTTGTTTAATCCCCCCTCCATGGCACTGGAAATTTTCTTCACCCACTGTCAGAATATATTTTAGGAAGCTTTTGATTTTGAAAAACAAAAGGTGGATCAACTCTTTCTTGGTGTGTCAGATCAGCACATCTTTTCATTTTACACTCATTCAGTTATCTGTCTTTCAAGCTGTAGTTGAAAGAAACTCCATTTTTGATGGACCCATTCATGATGCTCTTTGGATTCTCTCTTTCGACCTTTTCTCTGCTAAAGATAGTGTCCTGGTCGCTGTCGAATTCAGACTCTGAAACCATCAGACTGGAATTGTGTTCTGTACTTCTGTGTTTTATACCTGAAAATAAACAATCAAGCCAAAAGGTTCTCTGGAAAGTTTTATTTTTAAATTTAGTAACCTGTCTCTCGGGTAGCATTGCGCAACATCAGTGATACTGTGCTACCCTGCCTCTAAGAGTAAGTATTCAGACCACTATCCATATTAACAACTATACAAGTAAACACTAAATATTGGGGGGGCAGATACGCCAATGGAGCTTCTCCCATTGATACTGAGTGGCTTGCACTTCATGTCTTCTCCTGCTTCTGTTTAACTGCACATGCTCAATTCGTTTAAAGCACCTCATCATGCAGCACAGACATTTCTAACAGCTTAAACCAGCCAATTAAATCTATACACAAAGACAGCTCTATGATTGATCCAACTGACCATGAAAAGTCTGTGCTCCTGGACAAACTTGTTACTTTTTAGGATGCCATTGTTCAGGAAGTTTTCCTCCATTGGACTTGAAATTTCCCCCCCATTAGAGGGAATTCAAAATTCCTTCATTGTGAATGGAAGCTGTTAACTAGGGAAATAATTAAAGCCTAATGAAATTAAGTGGGACATATTTGGGCCATGCAACATTGCTGTGCATAAGCTTGAAAAATCAGTTTTAACTTTGTAACATAAAAAGCTTGTTTTCATGTTTTCTTTTAAAGTGTGTGTAGAAGAGAACTTTCTAAAACATAGAAGTTTAACGATCAACTGCTAAAAAAGATCCCAATTAAAAATAAATCTTACCATATTTGGGCCTTAGCTCCATCCTCTCCTGGTCATCTATGTTATCTAGGATGGTGTATTTGGTTTTCTTTCTTATTTTTGTCCTCTTTCTGCTAAAAGTATAGTGACACCAGTAAATCAAATTTTCATGCACAGTACACATACATCTTTTTCTTATAAATGCCTTAGGGGCCAAGAATATCTCCTACCCCTGTACTCCCTCCACAGTCCCTACCCCTTCTCTCCATATCTCTCTCTGGACCAGTCAGATGCCCTCTGTAGAGTCCAAGGCAAGTGAGGACGGAGTCACAAGGCAGATGAGCCCCAGTTCCTGCCACATGCCAGTCTGGAATGTTCAACACCGGCAACCCCTATGTCAGAGAGAGTAGTCCAAGGGGGACAGCTTTTCAACCAACATCCTGTATGTCTCACCAAAACGACATTGTGGGGAAGATTAAACACCTGGACAACTCATTTTTTTTTGTTTCATCTAAACAAACTGCCTCTGTTGGATTGTCTGATAAGCAACAAAACGTGCACTCCAATGACTAGCACCAGCGAGAACCAAATAGAAAAAACATGTTTTCCTTGGGAGAGAATTACTGATGGTCTTGCTGACATGTGATTTACACTGAAAAGCTAGGTCAGAGCCACTTCGGTGAGGGGGGGAGAATAAAAACTTTCCCTGGACCACTTTAGCTATTTTAACCTATCCCTCAGTGCAGATGCAGATAAGTGGAGGGAAGAATACTTCTGTCTCCATAGCTACTGTCATTCATAGCTGCTGCAGTTCCTACATGAATGAAAAAAATCCCTTCCATACAAGTAGGCTGCTTTAGAGTATGAGTTTGTTGGCATAGTGACGCTGATGTAGCTAAATCAGTGTAGTCCGTGCAGTGAAGACACACCTGAGATCAGACAAAGTATATTGAGGCGGACAAAAAAAAGCTGGAAACCGGGAGAGAGACTCCTGGGACACACAGTGTTAGCATACAAAGTACAGGCTAGTTTCCCTGGACCTAAGCCAGACCCAACCTGCTGAGCTATGTCCATTCTCCATGAGGTCAACTCTGCTTTAGAGTTTCATTCCCTCCAGAACTCCCTAGTTTAGTGATCTCCAGGACATACAGCTTCATCTTGGTGTGTGACAAAGATGGCGGTGGGCAATAATTTTGGGGCCCAGTAGGGGTGGGGCCTAAAACAGAACGGGTGGGGCCAGAATGCTTCCGGGCTTCCCCACCCCCAGACCATGATTGGTCTGGGGGTGGGAAAGCCCTTCCCCCTCAGCATCCATGCCCCTGGCAGCACAGGAAGAGGCTCTGCATGCTCCCCCACCCTCTGGCCAATTAGGGTCTTGGGGTGGGGGAAGCACACAAAGTTTCCTCTGCCCTGTCAGGAGAATATAGCACTTTGAAGTGTTGTGTGCGCCTAGCAGGACGGGAGGAGACTTCACATGCTCCCCCACCCCCAAGCCGTGGTTGGTCTGGGGGCGGGAGGAGTGCACAAAGTTTCCTCCGCCCTACAAGGAGTGCACGGCATGAGGCTTTGCATGCTCCCTGCCCCCAGGCTAATCAGAGCTTAGGGGTGAGGGAGGGCACGAAACTTCCTCCGCCTGCCCCCGCCCTGCCAGAAGCACGCAGCATTTAGACAAGTGCCACGTGCTCCTAGCAGGGCGGAGGAAACTTTGTGCAGTTCCCCACCCCCAAGCTCCAATTGGAGCGTGGGAAGTTTCCTCCACCCTGCCAGGAGTGAGCGGCACTTCAAAGTGCTTCATACACTTCCCCCACCCCCAGGTCCTAATTGGCCTGAGGGCGGGGGAGCGGCAAGGCCTCTGCGGGTTAGATCCAGCCCGCAGAGGCCCTTTTGCCCACCCCTGCTCTAGAGGGAAGATTGTAAAGATCTTAAATATGTTTTCAGATGTTGGGCTGGGATATACATTAATTATAGGTGGAGAGGTTCCAGCAGTAGTCTCTTTTTATAACTATTTTTTTAAAGTGTCAAGGAACACCACAGGCAAAGGACAGGTACTGCTTTTTCACGGGACAAGTATATAAACCCAAAAGACAGAAAGAAATATTTCCAGAGGACAGTTGCGTTTGAGAAGAGCAGAATGGTTTAATGCTGAAAAGCTGACCAAAGGAAGAAAAGAGATTAGTAAAATACACACCTTGGACTTCAAAAAAGCAGATTTTGACTCCCTCAGAGATCTGTTGGGCAGAATCCCCTGGGATGTTAACATGAAGGGGAAAGGAGCCCGGACAGCTGGCAGTATTTTAAAGAAGCCTTATTGAAGGCACAGAAAGAAACCATCCCAACGCGTAGCAAGAGAGGCAAACATGGCAGGAGACCGGATTGGCTTACAGGAGAAATCCTTGGTGAACTTAAGCACAAAAAGGAAGCTTACAAAGAGTGGAAACTTGGACAAATGACCAGGGAGTGATTTAAAGGTATAGCTCGAGAATGCCGGGGGGTTATCAGGAAGGCGAAAGCGCAAATGGAATTGCGACTGGCTAAGGATGTGAAGGATAACAAGAAAGGTTTCTACAGGCATGTTAACAAGAAGAAGGTGATCAGAGAGGGTGTGTGGCCCCTAATGGATGAAGGAGGTAGCCTAGTGACAGATGATGTGGGGAAAGCTGAAGTACTCAATGCTTTCTTT